GTTCTTCATTATCTTATGATTTTGTAAACACTTATATAGTGGATTTGCTTTGGTTAAATTAAGTTTCCGTTGTGTTTTCTTCGTGCTTTGTGATGGGCTTCTCTTACTCTCTCTTCTTGTTTGGAAATAATGACATGAGAAGATTATGCCCATTTTACTTTCTTTTCTTTTGTAATGAGTAGAATTCATGTTTAGGATTTAGTGATGCATGTTAGAAGCGGATTTAATTATCAATGGTTTTTACTTGCACTTTATTTACATTACAATAAAGGCCTCTTATAGTGTTAAAATTCGTTGTAATTGCATTAAGACCCGAGAGGGCTGTGTAATTCTCAACAAAGTAGAAACACATTCAGATTTCATGGATGGTTAAGTTCATGGGATTTGAATGCAAATAAATAGGGAAATATACTTTGATGGACGTAGAATTAGAGATTTAGGGTGACGGACTAAATTCCCCAATTCGGTCCTATTGTTTGAGTACTGAAGCAGAGATGTTAGCCCTCAGGTAAGGGGAACAAGGGGAACGTGGGAGCAGAGCCTGTATCCTCCCAGCCTAGCCACAGATTCAGTAAATTAGTCAATGTTCTTTATGTCTGGACCAAAGGACTCAGAAGAGGGTAAAGAATAGGATTGCTCCTATTTGACATATACAATATTTAATGCATCTCTTTCCTTTACATTATCCAATTCACTACATAGGAATAGTAATTTTTAACATCTCTAAATTCTCCAAATTAATTCATCCAAAAAGGGATTATCCTTAGAATTAACATTTGCATTTAGGAATAGTTATTATCTTTACATTTAACATTTGCATTTAGGAGTAGTTGCTAGATAAAATACTATTTTAATCGACATTCCAATCTAAGGCCTGATAGTAGTAAATTAGAAATTTGATTAAGGACCTCTTACCTTGCTTCCCTGTGGGATCAAAAAATGAGACTCCATTAGAGCCTTGTATTACTTGAGCGATAAGTATACTTGCGTTTATATCATTGTGACTATATAGAATATATAAAATTAATCAAAAACATAAAGTCCTCAAGTTTCTGGCACCGTTTCTGGTGATTATAGTCTTCAAGTAGTGGTGTCAACTTCACGAAGCATCGGGGGTTAAATCTTCTAGTAGTGGTGTCAAATTCTTGTATTTTTAGGTATATAAAAAGTCGCGGTCAACGCTCAATCGGATGGCGTTCGGTCATCGTCCCCGATAGAGTTAGCCCGAAAACCGTCCATTTTCAAAGCTTGATATCTCTCTCGATTCTTAACGAATTTGAGTGCTTTTTTTTAAATGCTCGTCTCGACAAGGAGAACACATCCATATGGTTGATCGACACTTAAATTAACTATATACGAATGGAGAATAAAATAAAGCTCAGTTTAGGGTTTAAGCTCAATTCCTTGGTCCAAGATGGGTAGCCTCGATTGGATGCTTGTGGAAGCCTCGTAGGTGTCCCAAGAGCCAAGGGATGGAGCCTCAAGTCATGGTGAATCGCCTAGATATGATTTCGACCATGGCCGAATTAGGGGGTTGATCAAAGTCCATCTTAGGGTGCTTTGGTGATGGGGCTATTGTGGGGGATCTTCTTCTCTTGCTGTGAGGATGGGGTGGGGCCCATTAATTTGTAGTCCAATTAATTTGAATTTGGTGGACGTTTGGAGGATGTCCTGTTTCGGCCTAGGAATTAAGCTAAAAAATTGAGCTGGAGCAGTGGATTTGGATGGCTAAGGGTGGTTGGGTTAAGCTCAAGAGGTCTCAAAGAGGCTTTAGAAGCAATTTAGCAGTCTCCTCAAGGAATTTCAAGCTCTCTTTCTTTGGCCATAGAGGGGGGTTTAAATAGAGGGGCTTGGAGAGGCCTACAGGGACAATTGCTGAGTGTTTAGGGTTGCTTAGGTGGAGGGGAGAAGTGCCCAAGTGTCCAATTTGAGTTGTGCACATCAGGTAGGTTCAATTTTGAGTTTTGACCATATGGCCTCCCTTGGCCATGGTGTTTTCTGGCCACCAAGGTGGCTGGCCGGCCAGGGAGGGGTCACCATTTGGTCAGGGGGCTCAAGGCTTGGTTTTGTTGCAACCAATTTGGGGTTGCCATGTGTAAAGGTATTGGATCAAAATGGAATGGGGAAAGGGCTATTTTGGGTCAAATTGGGTCTAATCATGGTTTCGGGTTAGGTTCACCCCTCAAGGCTGGTTTAGGTGCTGAGGGAAATCAGGAGGTTCAGCTTGATTGATGTGTAGAAGTCTCCATCCAAAGAGATTTTCTTAATTATGGGTTTAAGTAATTCATAAAAAGGGTTAAAAGCCTTTTTAAAGGGGCTTAAAAGTGGTTTGGCCTCTTTCCATTAATATCTTGGTGATGTGGCAAGGCTCACATGACTTACCTATGGCTTGGGAGTGGCTTTACGACTTGCATGTGGCTTGGCTAATTTTCATGAGGGGATTTTTAAATTTTTAGCATTTTTTGGTGAAGTTTGGCATGATAGTTGATTTGGAATGATTTTATTTTGGATTTAGGACTTGACGAATGATTTTAATCAAATGGATGATGAGAAGAAATGATTGCAATGTTGGCTTTGAACTTGAGCTTTTGAAATTAAATGTAGTGTGCTTTGGGCTTTTAAAATGGAAATTGATTTTGGACTAAAGTTTGGGCTATTTGAATGTTGAGTTTGGTGTAGGAATATGTCATGAAGGATTGGTGAAAATTTCATAGGATTTTGAATTGAATTGGTAGGCTAATTTGGTGGATTTGGGCATATGATCAAAATTGGGTCTTTTTTATTTGAATAAAATTGGGCTTGTATTTTGTTTAGAATAGAATTGGGGATATTGAATTTTGGTTTAGAATTAAAATTGGGCAAGATTGGAGTCAATTGGGCAAAAATTGTGGTTAATTTGGAGACATTTGGGCATTTAAGGGCGAATTGAGGTTTTTGGTCAAATTAGTAAAATTGGTCAAATCTGGTCAAATTGATGATAAAAAATTAAAATTAGAAATATTTGACATTATTTTGGAATTTTTGGAAATTCCTGGAATTTTTAGGTCATGAGGGGCATTTTGGTTATTTTGGCAATTTTTTTAGTGGTATTTTTAAAATTTGGTAAATTTTGGTCAATTTAAGTATTGGTGAGGGGTTTGAGATGATTTTTGGACAAATTTGAGTATTTTGGATAATTTTTTGATTTTTGGCAAAAATTAGGGTTGTAAGGGGTGTTTTGGTAATTTGGTGGTTTTGGGCCAAAATGGGGCAACATGCTCTCCCGCCTTCCTCTTCTGGATTCACGAATTAAGACAAGAAATATTAAATCCTTGTTATTTTTGCTTGGCATGAAATCACGCTCGATTGATTCCTCCATATTGTGCGGTTAAGGCTTGCCTTTGTTGGGTCGAATAGGAAGATTTAAATGCATGCAAGAAGTCCACCGTTAGACATAACTTCTCCTTTAGCGTGTATCTTCTCTTCAGCGATAGGTGTGTGGCTTCTTCCCTCTGTGTTGCTTTGGTTCTTGCTCACGGGCCAAAGAGAAAGGGAATCGCAAGGCTAGTTGCTTCCCTTTGTGTTCTTCTGCTGTGTGGCTCAAGGGTAGAGTGAAAGAGAGAAGGTGATGAGAGAGAGAGAGAGGAAGAGAGAAAGAGCCTTCTTGTAAGTCGACAAGATCGACAGTGTGTAATCCTTAAAGTAATAAAATCCTCTGCAACTCCGTGGACGTAGGCAATTTGTCAAATCATGTAAATCTGTGTGTCGCTCTGCTGTTTTACAATTTGCTCGTTAATTTTTTGCTTTCTCGCAATCATTTTTCACAACAGCGCAATTCATTACATTTCTCATTTCCATAGTAGACTTTTTTGTGTGGTGTGGCTCGAGTAGTTTTCTTTTATGTTCTCAGATTTTTTCATGTTAAATATTGTGTGTTTTTCTGAATTTCTTGTACCATACGTATCTATTCAATTTTTGTTCAAAATCTCTTGAATTACTTTGTTTTCTGTGGTGTCGTATAGTTGTGAATCGATCAAATCTAATTTTTCCGTCCCAACAAAAAGTATGTCCTCTAATTAATAGGAGAGGATCATAATCTAGCTTAAAAAGTAGAGCTTCATGAAAGGGAGTGGAAAATGACTCAATAGAAGGATCAATTACATTTGAACATTATGAAAGGATGTGGAAAACGACTGGTAGAAAAATGAATGCAGCCGTAGGGCCAGCAGAAATTCGAACAGCTGTAATTTGGAATTTTCTATTTAGAAAATAGAGTTCAGCGATAATTTCTAAATTTTAAGTGTGATAAATTTTATAATTATTAATTCATATTTTAGAAATATTAGATCCTGATTTATCACCACCACAGAAAAAATTGAAACACCAACTTTTTTGAGCTACGAAAATATGGAAGATATGTAGATCTCATAATTGTATTAGCGGCTGCCTCAGTTTGGAGGAAAAATTTTGCGTACGTCAAGGGGTACGCATCTCTGAGTACATAATAGTGTACACGGGAGTTACATGGGAGTTACAAGCGTGTACACGAGAGTTACATAGGAGTTACAAGCATGTATAATTGTTACAGCGGGGTTACACGGGATTTACACAGGAGGTTACACGAGAGTTACACGGGAGGTACAACAGGTTATAACCCCCTTGTAATCTCCGTATAACTCTCATGTACCCTATTATGTACGCAGAACCCCTTGACGTACGCAAATTTTTTCGCAGTTTGGAGGAAGTTAACTTACACATGTTTCAAATAATGTTAAAAGTCCAAATATTCCTCTGTCACTTTTTATCTTGATGAGTGCCTTTTTTCGGCCCAACGAGGAACTTGAGCTATGTGTCGGGCCAATGAGGAACATGAATAAGCTATGTGTTCGGTTGCTGGTTCACACCTAAATAAAACCTATCGAATGAAAAAAATTATCAAAATCCGGAAAAAAAAAGTTTTTTTTAAAAAAATTATTGTCGGCCATTCTGATTTGACATCGCTAAAACGGAAACCAGCCTAATTTTAGACGGCCTCTGAAAATCGTCTCCTCTTTTCTTCCGTGAAACAGCGGGAAAATGACGAAGTGCTGCCTCGACGCTCTCTGCAGGAGAACCTCACGTGATGTAAAGAACCTGGAGTTTCTCCTCGACCTCACCGTCTGCCGTCTTTCCCACCTCCGCAGACAGGGCAAAACCCGGTGCGCTGAAGCCGAAGATGATGTCGCCGAACACCTCCGCCGCGGCCACCGTGATCGCGCCCTCATCCCCGTTCGTAAATATTTTCAAAGCTCTCAGCTTCTTAATTGTTTGCCCCTTCTCTCAACATAATCAATTTTGCGTTTTATGTGCAGGCGGAGACGGTGATCAAAGAGCGCAATATGCTCGACGGCTTCGACATAGTGGAGAGCTACTGCCACCTGCTTAAAAAGCCCGCCTTCCTCGACCACAAACAGAAGTAATATATCTGATTTCTATGCTGTGGTCTCATGGTGGAGATGGGCTTACTGTGATATTTTGTGGAGCAGGGAGTGTCCGGAGGAGCTGCGTGAGGCGGCTGCTGGATTGGCTTATGCGGCCTTACGGTGCGGTGATTTGCCGGAGCTGAGAAAGATACGCCGCATCTTCAGGTCTAGATTCGGAAGAGAATTCACAACTGCGGTTGCGGAGCTGCGCGATAATTGCGGTGTCGGTGCTGACGTAAGTAAGAAGTCGTTGTTAAAACTCAGTAAGCGCCGAACTCCACTATATTTTTATTATTACCTTTTTCATCTATCAAAGTGATTTTTGATGGTGTAAAATAAATCATTGTTGAAAAAAAAAAATCAATTATAAACCATCAAATAAAAGCTAAATGGAAGATTTACATAAATACCAAACGATTCATTTATATTTACATATTTAACAACTAAATTTTAATTTTTACATAGATATCACTTTATCTAAGAATGAAAGTATGTAGTTCACTTTTAAGATGTTAAAATTATGATATTCTTCATGTGATTTGAAAGATTTCCGTTACATAAATATTAAAAGCATAATTTATATTGAGATATGTAAATACATAATAAATAATCCCTTTTTAAGAATCATAGTATTTTTTTTCTTAATTTTTTTCAGTTATTACGTAAGTTTTCTACAAAACAGCCAAGTTTGGCAACCAAGCACAATGTCATGAGAGAAATAGCAATTGAGAAAGGCATCGATGTGGATCTAGCCAAAATTCCCGTGGAGACTGTAGAGGTGATAACCTATACTTCATACGAATCAGATCACCATGTTAGCTTTTTTTTTAATATTTTATGCAAATTCATAAACACATAATGACTAAGATCTTTGAATTCATGACTTTTACATATTCTAAATAAGAATAACGTACATGTATTCATGATTGTAGAGTTAGATCTTAGGAGATAAAGTTTCTCTCTCTAATTCATCAAGACTTTATGTACTTTCTGATGGAGAGGAAGATACGGTAAGTGTTAGAAAGAGAGAAGACTCTTATCTGGATTCATGTGTTATTTAACCACAATCCATCATAGGGGTTACTGACCAATAGGATTTAATATAATTTAATTAATTAATTGAAATTTATTATTAAAGTTAATCAGGATAGTAACCACCATCCATAAGAGGATTATTGATTTAACATAATTTAATTAATTTATTTACATAAGTTAGTAACCACAGTCCATAAGGGGGTTACTGATCGAAAAGATTTAATATAATATAATTAATTATATTATATTAAAGTAAATGACATATGCTAGTAACCATCATCTATAAGAGGTTACTGATCAAAAGGATTAAATATAACTTAATTAATTAATTGATATTTTTCATGAAAATAAATGACACACTTTAGTGGGTTTATGGGCAACGGGGGTTACAATAAAAAATTAATATTCTCCCACTTGGCCCACGAAAATTGTTATTTATTATTATTTTTTTTTAATAGCGCATATCATAATACATAAAATATAAGCTAAAAAATATTTTTTATATTGGTCAAATCATAAATCATCAATAAGTAAGAAGTTAATGTGAATCATGGTGGTTGTGTATCAATTTGCCGACACAGTTACTTCCATGTATCACAATATCAATTATATATTTAACATAATGAGAAATAACATCATGGTCTCATAATATCTATTAAAAGACAAATCTTATTAAACATCACACAACGTAAAATGTACATAAATGATCAACAAGATCTATAAATATCATAAACAACAATAAACCGAGCTAAAAGTGTCAAACATAAAAAGCACTAAACATAAACTAATAAAGGATTTCGATAATGTCCATTCTCACGACATATTTGTTAAAAATGTATTTGGTGGCTACCCTTTCGTCAATGGATTCGCAGTTATAAGACTGGTGCTAATATGCTCAATTGACACCATATGTTTCTAAACTTCTTCTTCAACGACAAGATATTTTAATTTTATGTGTTTAGAACATTTGGAAAACTTGTCGTTTCTAGAAAAGAAAACTGCTGCGGAGTTATTACAACAAAATTTCAGCGGCTTGACAATGCTGTCGACAATTCCAAGTACTAAAATAAAATTCTGCAACCATAAGCCCTGAATTGTAGTTTCGAAGCATGCCACAAATTCAGTTTTCATAGTGGATGCAGCGGTGATAGTTTGATTCGCACTTTCCATGAGATTGCTCCTTCAGCCAAAAGGAACGAATGTCTAAATGTTGATTTTCTGGTATCAACACATCCAACAAAATCTGTATCTGAATATCCTGTCACTTCAAGATCATTAGATCTTCTATAAGTGAACATGTGTTTCTTTGTTCCTTGTAGGTATCTCAAAAGTTTCTTTGCAACTTTCCAATAATTTATTTCTAGATGACTTTAATACATGCCCAACATCCAGACAATAAAGCTAATGGCTGGCCTGGTGTCGGCCGTTTTAATTTTTAAATTTCAGATTTAATAAAGTATAATAGGATATATCTAATTTTGAAAATAGTATTTTAATTTTTGAAAGATAATATAAACGGGATTCCATATATTCGATGATTTGAGTTAAAAGAACGTAACACCGCAAGCAGCATCTATCCCGAAGGATAGACACATTTACTTGAATAATGATGTATGAATAAATAAACTAATGAATTTATGAAATTTGTTTGATATGCGAAACCGTTTTATATAAGTCGACAAGTTCCCCTGCCTAGTACAAGAAATTAGATAGAGTTTATATTACTTTAGTTCTTAAGTTCCTTATAGATGCAAGCTCATATAGTTAATTAAATCTTAGATAACTGAAATCGCCTAAGATTACACTCGATTAAGGTCACTGGTTCTGCTTTTAAGAATTTCAAAGTTTAAGTTTTCAAAGAAGGACCTAAAATATCAAATGGGAGCGGCTCAACTAGAAACATTTTATTTTAGGAATCCAAAGAAACGAAGAAGTAGAAGACGTCACAGACTTTAAGGAAAACCTCAAATAACTTCCCAACTATCATATTTGTTCGGCTTTAATTTTGAAGTGATTTATTTGACAATCAGATCCTATCAATTTTATTATTTAGGGCTTACGTTTGCACGACAAGATCGTACAGATAGCCTGAAAAATATGAGGGTTTATGTCATACATAACGACGACCTCAGAATCCTAAAAAGAGTTAGGATTTATATTACACAACATGACTGTGCATAAGCCTAAAGATAAGGTGAGAATTTATGTCGCACTAGGCGGACCACCTCAAAGTCCTATTGGTCATTACTTAAACTAAGGAAGATTTAGCCGGTGTAGACTTGTTTCGTTGTTGAGTGTCTTCTATATTCGAAATGAGAGTAATCGATAGCTAATGAGAATTGTTTTGGGCTCTCTCTCCTTCATTTTCCACCAGCCTTTATCTTAGCCTCCTCCAAAAAGTGTATACATAAGGTCTATTTAATTGTCCTAAAAAAATAAATTCGAATTATTTTTGACAAAAAAGTTAAAATACTCAATCAGACAAAGTGTTGGCCCATCTTTATCATGCACTATTTTTATACCTTAATGTCTTAATGTAAACAAAACAAAATAATATTAAGCTCATTAGATTCATCTCACCAGAAGTTTTATTTCAAGCATAAGTTTTGAAAAAAAATTGAGCTTAGACTATCAAAGAATAGATTTTGAAAATTTCTTACTTGAATGATTCAATATCTTTTAGGTCTAAAAAGTTATGTTGTGTCGAACTGAATGATTTTTTTTTATACCGAGGTATAAATTGTCTTATTGTTCAATGTCTCTATGAGTCCAAAAATAATTCATGTAAAGAAAATTTTGTAGCATATAATCACAATTTTGGAAAAAGTTAAGGACGCAACTATTTAAATTCAGGAATCAAGTAAATTTTTCTCAATCACAATTGCACCCTTTCATGATTTTGAAGTAGATTTTTACATTATTTGGATTAAGATTTTGAAGTTAAAAAGCTAAACAAATTTGACTAAACATATTGAAAAGAAATATCATGCTTTGGGAAATTGTTAAGGAGAGCAAGCACTATAAACAGTATTGTCAGCTTTAGAAAAAATAATACAGCTTGTAGATGCCAAGTTAAACAAATAACGGAAATTATATTCTAAAAGCAAGTTTCACCATAAAGAGATTGGAATAATGTGATTTACAACTTAATTAAAACTAGCCTTCTTCCTCGACTCAAAAGAGCGCACAGACATTCCTTGATGCGCAGAATGCTTTATTGATGTCAAATCTCAATCATATGTTCAAGCTGTATAAGGAATTCTAATGGTCTAATTAATGTACAAATTTTAGACAAGAAGGGAAGATATCAAACTATTTGTCCTTAACAAGAATTAAATAAAAATTTAGTATTATCCACTCCAACCGATTATTACATACAAATTCCCCTGCATTTTGATAGTTAATGAACCAAAAGAAATCTGCGCATATTTCTTAAATTATCTCACAGAAGTAATGAAACTGAAATATTAGTTGAATAAGAACCAAATTTTGAGCATGATATAGGGACTGTTTTATAATATTTATGCAAATTTTATGTTGATTCTAAGAGTTGAATTAGAGCGGGCTTTGTATAGATCTTAAGTGGTGCTTCATAGCTAATTTGATGGTTGAACGTATGCAAAATTCATGCCAATTTAGAAAGCTGAATCAATGCTGATTTTGGAAGGTTTAGAATTATGTATGGTTATAGCAAATATGAAAAAATTTAAGTAGACTTTAGGAGTTTATATCGTCGCGAAGTTTGCTATCATCCATTTCGCCTGCTCCGAGGTGACTCTTGAGATCATCCATTGCCCCCACCACGACCGGGTTTACCTTGCAAAGGAGCACCGTAAAGTTGGTATGAAAATTGAATTCAATGAAAGATTACACAAATAAACATATAAGTGTGTATAATGTAAAGTATGCAAATAGCCCAGTCTTATATATATGTATGTAAGCAAACAACATCTTAACATTATCAAACATAATCAAATATCAAAAGAAGTCTACATCATGCAAGGTTTAATAGCATCACACTCTCATGGCTGGCATTGCCCCCTTTCATACTTTTCATAATTATATCATTTCAGGAACATCAGAACCATATCCTCATTTTGAAGTCTTGGAGTATTTACATACACACCGCCCAATTCTTACATATTTACATGTTTAACACTTAAATTTTACACTTTATATTTAAACCAACCGAATCTTTCATATCACATCAAAAATATTACCGCTTAAACTTTTAGACAGTGAAACACATTTTCATCAAAACAGAACAGGTGGCATATATGTAAAAAATTGACATTTAATCCCTTAGACAAGTAAATACATGAGAATTAAATGGTATGTACGTAAATCTTCCAAAATTAGAATAGTGGTATTATTTAGACCAGCTGGTCCAGTAAATCAAAACCTTGTAGAAGGAGATGTGAGGCGAAAGTGATATATATAGTTAAGATGAGACTTACTGCAGAATCCAACAATAGATCGTTAACTTTGGATGAGAAAAGCATTTATAAGAATGTATGCCTCATTGATTGTCAACAGAGCAGCAGATCACCACATATAGCTTAAATAATTAAAGAAATTTTGAGCATGCTCTCATGAACCGTCAACAAAACGATGAACCTGAAGATCTCAATGTGTTCTTTCTAATCATAAACACTATCAAAACATGTAATCTGAAGTATTTATTTCAGACTCTAGATAACTAAACAGAAATCCAAAATAACCACATGCGATTTAGGGAGTAAATACAGATTTCGATTAAAGGAAATAATGAGCATTAAAATATAAGGTACAACCACGATCACCTTCGTTAAACTACAAATTAAGAATGACAAATAAAAAAAAAAAACTAGGTAAGAAAAAAAAAAAGAATTTGAATTCGTTCATCCTTAAAAATCCAAAGTAAATAATGAATGGTAGTGAAGGCCATTAGAATTTCTCACATAAAATCTATAAGCTATGAAGTAAATGGAAGCAACATTCTATTAGCTTAGTTGCTGATACAGTCACAAAGGCCTCACAAGAATGGATTGATGACATTTATGAGAAAGAAGATTTAATGGGAAATTCAGAACAGAACCAAATCCCATATACATGCAACAATAAAGCAAGCAAGACAAACTTAACTTCTCTTCTGTCTGAATAAAAACATCTATTAAACATACTAATTTGGCCACTTTGGTGACTAACAAATTAAACATAATATAGACATCAAATAAATAATAATTTCAATCACAACAATATACATTTCATGACTTAAATTATATAAGTCCTGATTCAAAACCCAAATTTAATAATTCCGAAAATAATCTTTAAATTCACGGATTAATTTTAGTGATCTAATTTACAGTGGAAATCTAATACAATTAACATATATAAAATTAAAATAAAAAATCACAAATTCAGCAAAGTGACTCTGACACCAACCGCTAGCTTTTTTTTTTATTTATGTGAATTCATAAACACATAATGACTAAGATCTTTGAATTCATGATTTTTATATATTCATAAATAAGAATAACATATTTGTATTCATGATTGTAGAATTAGATCTGAGGAGATGAAGTTTTTTTTCTTAAATCCACTAAAACTTTCTATACTTTCTGATTGAGAGAAATATACAATATGTGTTAGCTAGAGAGAGGACCCTTCTCTAGATTCATGTGTTATTTAACCACCATCCACCAGGAGGTTACTGACCAATAGGATTTAATATAATTTAATTAATTAATTGAAATTTATTATTAAAGTAAATGACTCATTACTGATCAAAAGAATTTAATATAATTTAATTAATTTGTTGATATAAGTTAGTAACCACCATCCATAAGGGAGTTACTGATCAAAATGATTTAATATAATTTAAATTATATTAAAGTAAATGATCTATGCTAGAAATTACCATCTATAAGAGGTTACTGATCAAAATGATTTAATATAATTTAATTAATTAATCGATATTTATCATTAAAATAAATGACCTACTTCAGTGGGTTTGTGAGTGACGTGGACCACAATAAAAAACTAACACACCATCCATTCTTACATCCTAAATCTTAACAAACATTTAATTGATTCAGAACCCCAACCTTCAGAGGAGGACGCAGCAAGCCAGAGCAACATTGGGTCGACTATGCGCTGCCTGTCTGCGTGAGCCGCTGGAAGGTAAAATGTACGAGGATGCCGGAAGCACAACGCTAGCTGCCTCAGAGTCCGCAGCCGCAGCCAGAACCGATGTAGAACTCTACCGATCAGAATCAGAGAGAATTAGAGATCATTCCAGCAATCCACACAATCAGAAACCAGAGAGTTCGAGAGGCAAAGAGATTCAGAACGAAAATGACGAGAGTAGTGATAGTGATGAGGCTCGCCTCCAAGGCACGGGTGCTGGTGAACAGAGCTCAGAGCTTTGCAGGACCGAGAGAGATGGATTTGAAAGGCAAAATGAGCCAGCTAGACTCTAAAAACGAAGATGGAGATATAGAGGATGAGCTTGAAGAGGTGAACGTGGAGGCCATTACAGCAATGGTGGAAGCTTCAAAAGAAGAAGGTTGAGCCTGAACTGAATTCTTTGTCGAGGGCCAGTTCTTTCTCTGTCAGGACTCGAAAGTAATATATATATATATATATAGATGATATATATTAATATATACATTGGATAGTAGTTGCAGGCATGCAACATTTTTATGTAGATTTGATCCTGCTCATCTGTTGGGTTTTGATGCAGTAATAATGTATTAATTGCATATTTTGTGCTTCTTGTTTCTTAGTTATTATGTCATTTGATTCATGGAATCATTATGTTGATGTATTAATAAATAGGATAGTTGTGATGAAGTGTTTGTTTGCGCCGAACTCGCTTCTTATGATTGGACTTTAATATTTTCTCTACATTTGGATGTACTGCAGTTGTATGTATTCAATTTACTTACACGCCACATAATTCTTATGTATTTACAAATCTAGCAGCTAAGTTTTGTATTGACATTCATGAAAGCCTGATTTTTATTAATTATTTACAAAACTAACCTCAACTTGCTTCCATTTGATAAAACTTCAAAAAATTTTGGCTTTTCATTAATTAAATTCTGAATGATTTGCAGCTCTTACAAGATGAAACATGATATAATTTGATGACGTCCATAAATCTCTTAATTTTTAATCAATTATTTAATAAAAAGACAGCATCAACGCACGGGTCCATACAAAACAAAGCCTGCTCGCCATTTTATGCCTTCTTCTCCCATAAAGCTAAGGGCACTGTTTCCATATTTAATTCACTAAATGAACAAAAGATAAAATGATGGATCATAGCATGCATTTATAAGAGAGCAGAGAAACGTCTTCTTTAATGACATACAAATGGTGATATAGACATAAGACAACACTACCAGGATATGGAGGTTGGAGTGGCATAAGTATCCAATGATGGAAGGAAACTTTTACATTTCATGCGTATAAATTTAAGAGTCATAAAAATTTGATATTTTATCATACTTTTATGCAAATAAATTTTTTCAAGTTGCTAATTCTATACAGGCTTTCATAATTCTAAATGGTTGATTTAAGGGTTTAAAATGGACGAGTTTTAATAAATCCAAAATCCCTCATATTATAAAAGCTAATAGGAATGAATCCAACCGATATATCCAGTCGAATGTATCCAATCATCTGTGGAGATATGTATCAATTCGATATTTCCAGTCGAACAAACTCACACTACAAGAATTAATTAATTTTGCATCGGTTAAATTCGATGCAAATAGAAGGCAAATTCGACGATATTTCAGTTTTATCATTGAATTTGCGTCTAATTTTTGTTCATATTTTTTTTGCGGATAAAACGAGGATCGATAATGTTAGTTACGTCAATTTTCAGTTGAAATTTTCCGACAAAAAAAATTGTGTCATTTTTTGCATCGCAGTAACATCAGCTTTGTTTAGTGCACACATGAGTCGAACATTGCCTCTGAAAACATCGGACGATAAATATTATCGTTGGATTACATTGTTTTCTGCGGCGGATAATATCGATTAACGGCGTAATACATTTTTCGATTTAGCACTAAATTTTTTGAAGCAAAATGGATGGTAATTCGAAGCAATTGAAAAGGAAGCGAAAAAAAACCATAATTCTTATTAATTTGGAATATTTTAAAATAAAATTTTTATTTAGCGTCTGAAATAAATAAAATATGTGTGTGCATCATAATGGAATTGAACACGAGCTATTACGGACTGAAATAAATAAAATATGCAAGTTTGTGTAGTTCAAAATCAAATCGAACACGAACTAACACAAACATATTTGAACATAAATTAAGCTAAACGCGGATAAGAGACATTCACGAGCTCATTTTGAACATTAAAAATCTCGAACGAGCCAAACATGAGAAACAAGCAATGGGTCCGTTCATGTTCGACTTGTTTACACCCCTAACTGCCACTAACTATTCAATGTATCCAGTCATAATTTTTGCTTTATCATAGAATAATAATTCGATGTATCCAATCATATTTCTCTCTTTCACATAAAAGAAATATTTGATGTATTTAATCATGGATATCCAGTCACATTAAAAGTATGGAGTCACATTTCTCAAATATAAAATACCCAGAATATTCTGTAACTCCCATTAAAACGATAAATTATTAGATATGTTCACCGTATGCAGAAATGTGTACGGTGAACCAATTAAAATTCTTCCCCCAATTAAGGCACGCATCTTTAAAATATAATTGTAATAGGCAAGTGTAAAAAATTATCAATTTATAAGTAATACAAATATGCTTACACTTTATCTCATTGAATTATAATACTATTATATTTCTATGAATTATATGATGAAGTAATTTTGTTAGTTATTTTTCATCAATGAATTTTGATATAGCCCAACCAAATAGAACCAGCTCGTTTCCATTATGAGCCAAATTTGATCGAGCAGCAATGTTAGGGTTCCGCCCCTTTCCAGCTTCGAGCCATGAATCAATTCATGGGTCCATAAGAGATCGAATCCAGGCCTAATTCTACAAATTCGAGTCCTCGTCTCGTTGCTATTATAAGAAATTAGGAAGCCCCCAACGAGAGCGATCTCGCTTGTTTCACAGAAGGAGAGAAGAGAATCGCAGTCTCGGAATTCGAGTTGCTCCCTTGCGGCGATGGAGTCGAGCCATGCGGGATCGGAGAGAGAGAAAGCAAGCACATCATCACCCATTGTCGTCGTAGGCAGCTTCTGGAAAGGTATTTGAATTCGGAACAAACTGTCTCCGACATTGATTACAATCTCATGAGCACACAAATTGAGTTTAAATTGAGAATTCTTAACAATGGAAATCCAAGTAGAGTTACTGTGCGGAGCTTATTCTGGTAGATAGGATATTGGTGTTAGTTGGGTTATGATCTGTTTCGTTGCGGGTTGGGTGCTCTTTTGTGCAAGGCGTTGAGGTTTGATCTAATGTTTACTTTGGATCTGGTAGGAATGTGGACGACGAAGCAATCGTAAAATTTGAGGGGAGGTTCGGTTTTAGGTTTTGTAGATTTAATTTCATTGTAAACGTGAGTTCTCTCGACCGGTTACTTTTTTGAGGATTCAATTCAACGCATTGGCTGGATGCGGCCATAGGCATTTCATTGGTATGAAACTAGGTTTCAAGCTATTATATGGAATTAGAACTTTGGATTTCTGAAGAATCTGTGGGGGTTTACGTTTGGGCTTTTTAAAATTGTGAAGTTAGATACTTGATTTTTAGTAGGGAACCGATTCAGCAGTGCCTCACATTTTTTTTTTAATAATATGTTAAAGATCCATCTACAATGGATAGCTTTGAAAGCTCAGCTGGAAGGTTGGTTTCAAAGAGCCTCAATATAAATCATTCCATGATGTAGTCCCTGAGATTAGAGTTCCACCATAAATTTCTCCTCCATTATTCCATCCTACTGTAGAAATAATTTCAGTCAAAAACTGTCAAATAGTAATATCATGTATATATGAAATTAGCTCACATATTTCCAAAAGCATACCTTCCCAAAAGCATCCCTTCCTGCAGTATGAGGAGTCCAATATACTTCAGCACAACCATTCAAAGTTCAGTTATCTAGGTGAAACCCACTACAAACCTCACTCTCAGGCAAAGGAAAGGGAACCGCAAACATCTAAATTTCCGCACGGAATTGGAATAAATTATAACTCAGATCAAATAAATAGAATGAAAAAAAAATGTGAAGAACTGCTGAATCGGCCATCCACTAAAAATCAAGCATCGAATTTCACAAGAGTTAAAAAAACCTCAAATGAAAACCCCCACACACTCTTGGGAAATCCAAAATTCTAATTCCATAACTCATAGCTTGAGGCCTAGTTTTCGTAGCAGCTATAGGCTGCATCGAGCCAATATGTTGAATTGCATCCTCAAAAAAGCGAATCGTTGTAGAATTAACTTCTACAGTGAAATTAAATATACAAAACCCTACAAATATTATAGTGAGATAAGAGTTTCGTTGAATGCTAACTTAGGAATATAACTGAAACAATGAATTGCATATATAGAGATGATTTTCTGGTGTCCTTTGGTTTTTGCATCCTTAGTGTTTCACTCTCAAAATATAAATTTTAATCTTTAATGATGTTGGCAAGAAAAAAGAGCATAATTGCAAACATGCGGGAAGAGGAACATTTGTTTATCTAAAATAGAAACGAGATGTGAAAATTGACTCACCCAACATCATGGAGACTTGCTCACCTATAACAATTTGAGAATCACTCACTTATTATATTGTGAATGCATTTATCTAAGTAAGAGGAATCTCTTACCGGCTCACCTTTTGCTCACTCAAAATATTCCATCTTAAGCCTTTTGCAACACCAACTTGAACTACCTCTCACTAAATGAGGTGATTGATGCTTGGGAACTATAATTAATTAAGGTTATGGGTAATTTTTGGTCGAGAAACACTACAAATATTAATTGAAAATATCATTGTTCTCCACTACATGGAAAAAATTCGGTCTCAAATTTGATGTATGGTGAAGCACCTCCTTAATTATGGGTTATCAATGCCATTGTTAAATCCTAACTTATCTTTCAGAATACATGCCCGAGAGTTAGAGTTGATAGGAGAGAAGAGAGTAAGAGTCTAGAGATAGAGAGAGTGTGTGAAAAGTCCCTTCATTTATGTCTTGATCTCCTACTTATAGAGGTTTAAAAATACAATTATGAAAAAGAGAGAATAGTCATAATAAACACCCAAATAACTGAATTGACATGTATGTCATGTGAAAAATACATTATAATACAAATGAAATATAATGTTATCGACCGCCAGATGCTTTAGCTTTGGTTGGTCATTTCAATCAACTGTATATATCAAATCGATTCCATCGAGGGGACCGATCTATCGATCAAAGGAAACCGACCGATTGCTGTAAGAGGTCCGTCGTTCGATAGGTCTGACGGTCGATAGATTTGTTGGTCAATTTTGCTGTGTAGTCAGTCGACTGCATGGCTAGTCGACATCTTGCTCTTGAGCATGGAACTCTGATTGCTTGGGTCTCCATTCATAGCCGCTCGATCCCTTTGAGATCCGTGTTGGCATTTTTTATGTATACAACCATACTTCTGAAGGCCCAATTATTTAATCAATAAACTACTTCTCTATAGCTATTTTCATAAATGCTTGTTTGCATTTTTCATTGTACAACAACTGGCTTCTTTGTTCTTACTGGAAACAATAAGCCAGCTCAGATAAGGCTTGGATGACCGAACCGCAATACGATAAAGCTATTTCTTTTTTGATTGCTTTTAAACAAGTATTGTTTCAACATTTAGATAGAAAGAAAAATAGAGTTGCACATGTTTGTGCCCATACTGCTTTACTTGATAGTTTTTTTGTGAGGAATGTGGACTCCCCCACTTCCTCTTTCCTTTTATTGATTTTGATCGGGCCCATGTTTTGTCAAGTTAGGCCCCTTTTCTACTTTTTGTAATCCTTTATGTTATAGTAATGCAAAATGCACATTGCAAGCAAACACCTCTTGGTGTCTTTGGAATTTGCTTTTCTTTTAAACGTTAAAAAGTTTTATTTTTCCATACGCCACAACATTGTAACAAGGCCACTCATATTTGTGCTAAGCATGCTCATAGTGGTTCTTTTGTTTTGATGCATGTATGATGATAGGAAACTTTCTATTATACTTGTAGATGACATATATTTTTTTTACATCATAGATGCATACATGCATAGTTTTTTTATAGCCCTTTTGATATATTAATGCAAATACACATTCCTGGAAACATCTCTCAGCCTTATTGACCGCCTTATTATTTGCATGACATTTGTTGTAAGCATAGACCAAACTTCTTTTATTGATTTTTTATATTGCAGGTTTTTATGCTGGTATCAGCTGCTTAACTTAATTGTGTGACTAATTACGTAAGATTTTACTCATCTGTATACTGAAATTTTAAAGAGTATATTAACTGCACGACATACGTTCAACAAGTGTCTTTAGTGTCCTTCCATCTATATATGTAGCCTAATGTTTTAGTAGCTATAACTTTCTTATTTATTCAAAGGATGATCCAGACCTACTTTGCATTTGTCCATTGAACTATTTACATGGTTATATTTTTGCTCCTTGATTACCATAACTATTTTTATTTTACCAAAACTCTTTTAAATTGCAGATTTCGACTTCGACAAAGGAAGAAGTGTTCTTGTTGAGTAGGGGCTTAGGATTGCTGAAAACCAGAAGATTAGTCAAAAGAACAGGCGGAAGCTTGCGGAGAACACTCGCGGTATGGTAATTTTCTTGTGACATGTTTCTAGAAGTATCTTGCAATCTCCCTTTTTGTAGGAACTATGTAATTATGTACTTGGATGTTTCTCATAAAAAGCACTTTGAGTTGTTACTCTCCCAAGGAATCTGACTTCATCAAATCTTACCTCTTTACAGATTTCAAGAAGGCATCATCAGCTAAAAAACTCAACTTGTTTAACTGCTAATTGAAGGGCTATCAGGAAGAAGTTGATAATCTAACTAAAAGAGCCAAATTTGGAGAAAATGCTTTCCTTAACATTTATCAGAAACTTTATGAGGCCCCAGATCCTTATCCCGTTCTTTCTTCTATTGCAGTTAAGTGTTATGGTTTAGCGTTTCCTTTCTTGTTTTCCCATTGACTTGTAAACCTTCATCCTTATTTGCACTGAGACATGTCCAAAGCACCTTGAGTTGTGTTTGTTTATGAATAGGAACTAAACATTAATAGTATGTTCTCATGTTTAATCATCTGATTAAATGTGAATAAATTCTTTTTTTATTCTCCACTCTTGATTGCTACAGGAACCAGAGCAAAACTATCAGAACTTGAGTCTGAAAATGGAAAAATGAAGCTTGAATTAGAAGAATATAAAACTGAAGCAACACATTTAAAGAGCCTAAAAGCTACGATAAGATGACTTGAAGAGCGGAATCGGCAACTGGAGCAACAGGTTAGGGAGCTTTCATGTTTGACGCATTTGCTTAACTTATTTTCTTGGTTACCACTTTTCTGCAATTATTATTTTTGATTTATTTGTAACCTTCAATTGATTGTTATATTTTAACTTGGAATGAATCGATTTGATTTGGGAAATCCTTGTTCATTGTGGATTCTAGCATGAAGATTACCTGGATGGTAATTTTATATTGCATCCAAACAACATTTTACTGGTTCGGACATTGAAGAATAAAGGCTGCCTGCAACCAATATAAAACATCTTTATGTCATGTGATTTGAAAATATGATCTTTTAATGGGTTTTTAGATGGAAGAGAAAGTCAAGGAGATTGTTGAGATCAGGCAGCGAAGCCTGGCTGAAGAAAACCGACATGTCCTAAAAAATTTCTAACCCCTCTTACTGTATAGGAGGAGGTAATTTAGCGGCAACATTATTTTTTACCGTATCTACTTCGATTTCATTTTCAAAATTTTATGTCCAAGTATAATCCCTCCCGCAACCATAAATTGACATTTTTCTCAGTTTAAAACTAAATTTGTCTTTTCACATCGTTCTAAAATTTTTTTCTAAATGATTTAAACATGATTCAAATGAAGTTTTAAACACAGAAAAATCATCCATAAAAATTTCTATCCTCTTTTCAATTAGATCGCTAAAAATTGATATCATTCATCTTTGAAATGTTGTAAGAGCTGACATTAAATCTCATCAAGGGTCAAATGGTTAACACCCAAAATCATTTTGACCAATTTATGGGTTAATATTATAATTTCCTACATTTTTAATTAATTACATAATTAATTCAAAATGGAATTATAAGCCTAATTAAACCTTAATTAAACCTTTACTACATTAGGTTTAACTTGACAAACCATAATTAGGTCTAAACCACATTTAGACCTAATTATACCTTAGTTAAAGCTTAACTACATTAGGTTTAACTTAACAAACTTTAATTAGGTCTAAACCATATTTAGACCTAATTAAATCTTAGTTAAACCTTAATTACATTAGGTTTAATTTAACAAACCCTAATGGGGTCTAAACCTCATTTAGACCTCATTAGACCTTAACTACATTATGTTTAACCTAATAAACCCTAATTAGGTTTAAACCACATTTAGACCTAATTAAATCCTATTATACTTTAACTATATTAGGTTTAACGCCTTAAACCACAATTAGGTCTAATCTCTAATTAGACCTAATTAATCAATTAAACTTTACATAAATTAGGTTTAATTAACCTTCAACTATAATTAGGTCTAACCCCTAATTAGACATAATTAATCAATTAAACCTTACATAACTTAGATTTAATTAACCTTAAACCCTAATTAGACTTAACCCTAATTAAGTTTAATTAATTAATTAAACCTTACCTAAATTAGGTCCAACCTCTAATTAGACCTAACTAACCTATTTAAACCTTAGTTAAATTAGGTTTAATTAACTATAAATCATAATTAGGTCTAAACCCTAATTAGACCTAATTAATCTAATTAAACCTTACTTACGTTAGGTTTAATTAACCATAAACCATAATTAGTATAACTCCTAATTAGACCTAATTAAACCTTACTTTAGGTTTAATTAACCATAAATCATAGTTAAGTCTAACCCCAATTAGACTTAATTATCCCTTAAGCCTTACTTACATTAGGCTTAAACAACCTTTAAACCCTAATTAAGTTTAACCCAATTATACTTAATTAACTCTTAAGCCTTACTTAATTTAGGCTTAAACAACATTTGAACCATAATTAAGTCTAACCTAATTAGACTTGATTAATCATTAAGCCTTACTTACATTAGTCTTAAACAAACCTAAAAACCATAATTAATTCTAAACCAATTATACTTAATTAACCCTTAAGCCATATTTACATTAAGCTTAAACAACCTTTAGACTATAGTTAAGTCTAACCCTAATTAGTCTTAATTAATCCTTAAGTCTTAATTACATTAAGCTTAAGTAGCCTTTAAACCATAATTAGATCTAACCCTAATTAGGTCTAATTAATCAATTAAACCTTACTTCAAACTTACGTTCAACCCCACTTGAACCTAAGTCAACATCAACTTTAGGTTCAACATATATATTGAACCTAAATCAAACCTTTAACTTAGGTTCAACTCAAATTGAACTTAAGTCAACATAAAATTTAGGTTCAACCCAAATTAAACTTAATTCAACTTCAAACTTAGGTTCAACCACACTTGAACCTAAGTTAACCAAACTTTAGGTTCAACATATACTGAACCTAAATCAAACCTTTAACTTAGGTTCAACTCAAATTGAACTTAAGTTAACATAAACTTTAGGTTCAACTCAAATTGCAACTTCAAACTTAGGTTCAACCACACTTGAACCTAAGTTAAACAAACTTTAGGTTCAACATATACTGAACCTAAATCAAACCTTTAACTTAAGTTCAACTCAAATTGAACCTAAGTCAACATAAACTTTAGGTTCAACTCAAATTGAACTTAACTCAACTTCAAACTTAGGTTCAACCCCATTTGAACCTAAGTTAACCAAACTTTAGGTTCAACATATACTGAACCTAAATCAAACATTTAGCTTAGGTTCAACTCAAATTGAACTTAAGTTAACATCAACTTTAGGTTCAACCCAAATTGAACCTAACTCAACTTCAAACTTAGGTTTAGCCCAACTTTAACTCAAGTTAACCAAAATTTAGGTTCAACATATAGTGAACCTAAATCAAACCTTTAACTTAGGTTTTAACCTAAGTCAACAACAACTTTAGCTCCAACTCATATTGAACCTAACTCAACTCAACCCTTAAGTCCTAACTACATTGGACTTAAATCATTTTTAATCTTTAGGTTCTACCTACATTGAACCTAAACACCTTAAGTCCTAACTACATTGGACTTAAATCATTTTCAATCTTTAGGTTCTACCTACATTGAACCTAAATCAAGCTTAAGTTCTATCTACATTGGACTTAGAACAATTTCAAATTTTAGATTCCATCTACATTGAACCTAAATCATTCTCATACCTTAAGTCCTATCTAAATTGGACTTAAATCATTTTCTATCCAAATTAAACCCAAACGACATGAATCCTTAGGTTCTACCTACATTGAATCTAAATCATTTTAAGTCCTAATTACATTGGACTTAAACCATTTTAACTCTTAGGTTCTACATAAATTGAACCTAAACCATTTTAAGTCCTATCAATATTGGGCTTAAATCATTGTAAATCGTTAGATTGTACTCACATTGAACCTAAATCATCAAGATCAATCTAAATTGAACGACATCAATCTTCAAGTTTCATCGACATTAAACCTAAATCTCAAGTCTCAATTACACTTCTTTACGTATGACCGACATTGGACCTAAAATAAATGACATCATAAATCCAGCTCATCATGCTCACCGACATAAATAAAATTCACTTTATAAGACATTAAAACTTGACTTAAACCTAATGAAAAAAGATCACCAAACACAACTTGAATATTTGTGTTCAAATTTACGAAGATTTCTTGGACGACGCAATCTGTGGTTGCTGACAAGAATCTTCCGGTCTTGGTTAAAACACCTTTCAAACTAAGTAAATCTGAATATTTTACAGCCCCAGGATGACGGAGTCATAAACATCTTGACCGAGTCGTTTAAAAATTCTTCAACCAATTAAATGACTAACTAAAACTAATAAAATCTGAAAACATGATTTTATACTAATCGTGTTATATTTTGCAGGTTTATTGGAGACATGAAAACAAAATCTCTCTCTAGATTTCCTTTGCATGTTATAGGGTGTGCTAACTCTGTTTTGCAGGACAACATTTGAAAGTGAAATTTCAAGACAACAAAACCAGACAAAAACAAACAAAACAAATCAAAACGACATAAACAAAATGACATGATATAACACAAAACTAAAACTTTTATCATAGCCACAAAAACAAAACTTTTAGGATATCCACAAAACCAAAACTTGTAGGATAGCCATGAACAAAAATTGACATGAAAAATATAAAACGACAAAATAACAGAACAAAAATAAAACAACATAACATGACAGAAATAAAACAAAACAAAAACAAAACTACATGACATAACATGAACAAACAAAACAAAACCTTTAGGGTAGAATCAGATTCTTAGGAATCTACTACCCCAGGAATAAAACATTTGATGTTTCTTTCCTTGATATTGACATCTTAGAAGAACGAGTGTTAACGAGAATCAGGAGTTTTCTTAGGTAAATGTAGAATTTCCTAAGATGTAATTAACTATAGGAGTTTTCTTCTATAGGAAAACAAAGAATTCAGAAAATGTGATCAACCTAAATCTCTGGTTATCAGACCTTTGATGTGGTTTTTCTTATATGAGATTTTGACATTCTAGAGTCTTCTCTATAAGTTTATCACCCAACATTTTTCTTGTTTTCTATCATTATTTTCCCTTTCCCTTTTTCCTGATTCCTTTAATACTTGAGGATCTTTCACTTGATCCAAAAGATTAAGGTAAATTGGAAAATAGGGCAATAAAATAGATAAATAGAGTGGCGACTCCAACATCCTTACCGACAATAGACACCCGACAAAGAACGAGAGAGAATTGGCGGCGACCACAAACGATGAGTTCCGAACGCCATCAGCAGGTGCATTACATAAACCAAAGGGCATTCGTCTAAAAGCAAAAGTTTCATAAGGACTAGTGAATGTTGTCTTTTCATGATCCTTAGGAGTAATAGTAATATGATGATAACCGGTATATTCATTCAAAAAGAAAAAATATTCGTGCCTAGTTAGCCTATCCAACATCTATTCTAGAAAATGTAACAAAAAGTTATCTTTCTTAGTGGTGAAATTTAATTTTCTGTAATCAATACAGATTCGCCAAGCAGTGACTTGTCATGTTGGTATTAATTTTTTTTTCTCATTCGTAGCAACTCCCTTTCTTAGGAACACAGTGAATTAGACTTACCCAAACACTGTCTGA